GACGAGAGAGAGAGAGAGAGAGAGAGAGAGAGAGAGAATGACTTTGTAGCCAGATGGTTAGGGCGCCCCCTTGGAGGATGGAGACCCAGGGACCAGTCCCCCGTTCCAATTACTCAAAGTATTTATATACAGTAGAACAGCTTCTACTGGAGACTAGGAGCCCTACATCAGAATATCCCATTGCTTAATGGTTAGAGCACTCTCCTGAGGGATGGGAGACCACCTGTTCAAATTCTTTCCCTGCTTCTGGCAGAGGGGTGAATTGAACCTGAGTCTCCCACATCCCAGGTGAGTACTCTAACCACTGGTTTAAAAGTTATAAGATGGGCACCACCTTCTCCTCCTCTCCCCTCAGATTTTGAATGGGACCTGATCTAATAGGCAGCCTCTGAGCATACCTACTGAATCAAGGGTGACCATACGTCCTGTTTTGGCCCGACAGTCCCTTTTTTTAAGCCCTGTCCTAGCTGTCCCGACTTTTTTGGCAAAAGCAAACGCCCAGTTTTGTAAAAAAAGTGGGGTGCAGAGAAATGTGGGGGGGGGAAGGAGCGGTGATGCCAGTCCCGCACAGAGTGGGAGACAGGGCTCAGGCAGGGTTCGAGCAAGCAGCAACTCTAGCCTCATCCTGACGCAGAGGAGAAGGCAGGGCTTGGGCGCGCAGCAACACCAGCCCCACGTGGGGGTTGGGGTGGAGTGGGGCACCTCAGGCTAGCCTCACCCGGTGTTCTCTTTTCCCTTTGGGAAATATGGTCACCCTAATCTGGCTCCATCTGCAAGTTAAGCAGACAAATGCCCATCTTCCCTGTTTGTGAATTGCTCTGAGGCTTAAGCAGGAGATAGGTGTCTGAATGCCTAGAGTGAGGCATAAGCATGCATGTTCAGAGGCACAACCTTAGGTGATTAGGGAACTTTTACCCTAAGGCTTGAATGAGTTCCCTGGAAGTCTTGTGGATTGCAGTGGACTCTACAACTGGAACTTAGGTGCCTAAGTACCTTTGTGACTCTAGACATAAAAGGCTATTTCCATTGGAAAAGACGTAAGTGATATATAAATAACAGCCTTCTTTGTAAGAGTGGAGAACTTCTACTCAGCTCTCTTTAAAATGCAAGAACAAGAGAGCACCTGATTAATTAAAAGGCAAATATAAAAGTTAAGACCTTGTGTGCAAAACACAAAAACAAGAACCTCCCAAAACACAAAAAAGCTTGTTGCCACATTACATTATTCAGGCAAACAGCTTAAATTCAGAAAAGACTTCAACATTTTACATGAATTAGAACATCCTTTGCAGCTGCCCTTTGACAGTCCTTATTTCATTCTAGCTCTCCTTATGTTTTCATGCCATAAGCTAATCAGCAGCTGAAGCCTGGAAGTTTCCTTTTCCTCTCCACATTCAAGGTATGTTGTTGTACAGGTATATTGTGAGGGTTTCACAACTTCCTCTGACACTTCCAACAATGGCTACGGTCAGAGACAGGAGACCTGATCAGAAGGTTTTTGCAGGTCTGTCCATTTATGGTATATGGCAGTAGCTAGGCCACAGCCCTGACAACACATACATGATACTCAACATCGTTTAAAGAGGCATTTTATCTGTAGATGACTTGCTGTATATTTGAGAGTCATATAATGTAACAATGATATTGGAATCACTCTCATGTCACCAGGCATGAGGAAATTCGACAACCTGTCTGCAGAGCTGAGGCTGTAGCAGGAGGGATAAGAGGAAGCGAGAGTGCCACACACCAATCCTACATCAACATGGTTATCAATATGGTAAACTGCACTGCCCTCAGCTCTTGGAGTTGTTGCTTATCTTCCTTATCAACCAAAGAGGAAATGCCACATCAGCAGCTGGCAAGTGAGAAGCAGAGGAATAAAAGGAAAGAGGTGATGAGCTCATACAAGAGAAAGAATGTTCCTGCTCCGGAGACTCCAAGGAAGCTCCCTGGAGAAGTACCAGGCACTTTGACATATGCAGTGATTGAGGAAGGTGAGATTGCTTGTATTGATGTAGCGCTTTGTGTAAGAGTTTACAGAAAAACAAGGAGCATAGCCACAAAATACTTGACATTTCTTTGCATACTGACTTTCATCTGTTTCTTCAAATGTTTATATTGCTGGCCCTAAACAATACACTCAGATACAACTCACAGATAAACCTGTCTTAAGTGAGCCCTCACTTGACCAGCCTTTGCACCCACCAGTTTCAGGAAAAATCTAACATCTCCGTACTTTTTCTGTGCCATTATTTACGCATAGGAAAGACTCCCGGGGGGGACAACAACAAACAAAACCAAAAAAAAGTGTAGACCCACTACCTTATCCTCTTTCAAAACCCACTTTAAGACCGTCCTCAATTGTAAAGCCTACAAAACACTGGCTGGGCACATGGTGAGCTGTGACTGTCACTCTTCCCCTGCTTCATTACAGTAGCCAAAGCTGACTGGAGATCCAGGGACCGTACCCTGATAGGAATCCCAGCTCCTTTCTGTTTCCAAGCAATTAGTGCTAGCAATGTGGGGGAAAAGAAGGTAGGCAGGGGCGGCTCCAGGCACCAGCGCAGCAAGCGCATGCCAGGGGCGGCCTGCCGGTCGCAGTGAGGGTGGGAGTCGGGTGGCCTTTGGCGGCATGCCTGCGGGAGGTCTGCTGGTCCCGCGACTTCAGCAGCAATTCGGTGGCGGGTACGCCGAAGCCGCGGGACTGGCAGATCACCCGCAGAAACACCGCTGAATCCGTGTGACTGCGGATTGCCCACAGGTGTGTCACCGAAGGCCGCCTGACTGCCATGCTCGGGGCGGCAAAAAACAGAGGTAGGGTTGGCATCTTCCCTGGGCACTGCCCATGAACACTGGAGCCCCTATTTTTATTACTGATCTGTACCTAGAGAGTTTAGTCCTCTGGCTATTAGCTGTCTGGTTAAATTTTCAAGCCCTACATATATATGGCTCAGAGTGGCCAATTAGATGGAGAGGAGCAGTACAGATTGATCAGATAAGTTAGGGGAGAAAAAAAGTACGATAAAGAGATTTGAGAAAGAAAGGAGACACAGAAAATATAGGGGAACAAAAAGTAGAGGCCACAATGTAAAGTAAGAAATGTGGGAGGGGAGGAGAGGGAGAGAGAGAAACACAATGAAAACAGTTCAGAAAGTCATATACCACAAGCTTTTACTAGAACAAAAAAATGGAGAGAAACCAAGAATGGAAAGGAGATATTACAGCTTTCTTGCTTTTATTCTGTAGGACTGGGCAAATACTATTTAGCAAACATGCTATGCTATTCAATTAGCTGCACTGGATCAAATAATTTATTCAACGATTTTTATTTTTGCAGTAACCGTGACCAACTCTATAGCTGGTCAAATATTATTCAAAAATACCAGTTATATTCAAATAATTATTTCTAATATAGTCTACTATTTGATCAGTCATAGTAATAAAGAACGACATTTTTAAAATGTATTAAGTAAGCTGATGAATAATACGTTGCAATCAAATTCAGTATGCAATTGACAGTACGCAACCAATTTTATTCCTTTAAAATTGTTGGTGGTGACCTTTGGGAAGGTGGAAACACACATTTTTTTATCCTGCCCTGTCGGGGTCAAGTACATTTCCCCCCCAAATCCCTATCTTTTCCTACTGGAATGTTACAGTGCATATACATAACGTACAGTGGCAAATTCTTACTGTACCTGGCTATATTCCAGTGTAGTGTGTACACTTAAGAACAAATATGTATTATTGTGCTATTTACTGATTCTATATTATAGTATACTGTTTACAAGAAACATTTAATACCTATACCTATCTCATAGAACTGGAAGGGACCCTGAAAGGTCATCGAGTCCAGCCCCCTGCCTTCACTAGCAGGACTAAGTACTGATTTTGCCCCAGATCCCTAAGTGGCCTCCTCAGGGATTGAACTCACAAACCTGGGTTTAGCAGGCCAATGCTCAAACCACTGAGCTATCCCTCCCTAACTGTTTAATGAGAAACAGTTATGATATTCGGTCACTTCCTATCCTATCTGCTCTCACACAGGTTAGTTCTCCAGTGCTTGTTACCTTGGAGAACCCTTCTGGGGTTTTCCCTTGTTCCATAGAGTCAAATACAGTCTCTTAGCACACTCAGACCCTACGTGTTGCTATTAGATGAACTAGTCTCCAAAAATAACTTCTCCTTTGAAAAAAGCAACAGAGCGTCCTGTGGCACCTTTAAGACTAACAGAAGTATTGGGAGCATAAGCTTTCGTGGGTAAGAACCTCACTTCTTCAGATGCAAGTGAAGCATATTCTCCTTTGAAGCATATTTTAGCTACGATAAAAACTAGAAAAATTTCCAATACCTGTACCAGCCAGATACCATCCTTTGTGTCTTCTACAAGCTCATAGAAGTGCATTTCACCACTGAAGTTTGTACTGGAAACTGATTCAGAGGCCTCTTCTTCCTTGAGGGCAGAATAGAGTTCACCCTCCATGAGGTCTCCTGTAGAATGGACAGAAGGGAAAAAACAGTTACACTACATTTGATAAAGGTCACATTAATCAAAAATATTCTGATACGAAAGCCATTTCTTTGTCAGATAGTGAAGATGTTGTTAATTACATTTTACACAGCTGGGTGCAGCATCACTTCAGTCCAGGGACAATTAAAACTTTATTCTTAATTTATTCGTTTATGTATTCATGCTGTTAACACACACCAATTTTAGCTGTCAATAAGCCATGAGACATGAACATTACACAGATATACTCTACATATATAATTGGACATACTGAAAACAAACAAATGTATTCTCAGCCTCATAAGTCCCTGTTGATGTTGTCTGACATTTGCAGTACTAAATTGGAAGACATCAATTTTAGTTTAGATGTCTTCTCCTTTATTTTACATGAAATTTAGTTCTATAGTGAACAAAGAGATCACGCAAAAGACAAATTGTTAAAACTGCCAATTTGGAATTCTAAAAACCTGTCTAATCAATAACACTATAATTAGAATTTTACTTACAGTGGGATAATCCAAAGTAGCTTTTACACAGCTAGCCTAAGGTTAAATTATTCCACTCTAAAAATTGATTTATTCTATTTACAAAGTAGTAAACATTTCCTAAGAACTTCAAGCCTAGCAACATTATTTGTTTCCTTAAAACAACGTGTATAAACTTATTTGATAATCTCTCTTTTGTTATCTCATTTCCTTTCCCATACTTTCTTTTAGAGACATTACAAACCAGATAGTTTAATACAGTAACTGCTATAATGTTATTCGGTATTAACAATCTCTTGAAAACATTTTTTTGTAAGCAAAGAAGTTGTTTCTTACAGAACGTATGAAATTTAGAATTAAAGTAGAACCTCTTGGTAGTTAGAAAGCTATGAACTTCATTGAGAGACATCTCATGATTTAAAGACCAAAAAAAAAAGAAGAGGAGGGGGGGGGAATGTTACAAAACTTAATCATAGGAGTGTTTCTGTGACATTGAAAAAAAAATCAGACAACATTTTGGTTGGAGTTAAACATTCCCCTTCAGTGTTTGCACCCAAACATTACAACTTCATGAAAGTATGTGAGCCAAAAAGCAAAAGTGACAAGCAACATTGACTAATCAGTTGTCACTGTTCAAACCAGGGAAGTAAATTAAAAAAAAAAAAAAAAAAAAAAGTAACTAAACAAGGTAAATGGTGAAAAGCAAGTTAGATTTTTAAAGTGTCAGTGTTAATGGTATCAGCAATTAATAACAACAATTTTTTTTTAAGTCAAAGGGACCCGAATCTCCTCTCACTTTCACTAGTGTAAATTAAGAATCAATCCATGCTAGTCTTTTTCTTTCTGCCCAAACACTCTTTGAGGTCCTAGCTCCCATCTTGATTACTGTTGCATCTTCTCCATCCTCCCCCTCTCCTACACCCACATCCCCTTGACAATCAATTTAAAAAAAGCTGCTGAAATTATCTTCCTTGCCTGTTACTCAGTCCACATCAGCCCTATCTCCACTGCCTCCCAACCCCATTCGCCATATCACATTCTAATTTCACATCCTCATCATCAAGGCCCTTCTACAACACTGCACTTCTTTACTGGTCTGCTCAATCGTTATGTTGCTTGCCACCTTCAAAGATGCCAACCTCATCCTTTCTCAGCTTCTCACACAAACATTTCCATGCCTAATTCCCAACTGCATTTTGTACATGTGACGCTCTTATGTCTAGAGCTATAAAACCACTACACTACCCTCTCCTCGAGACCCACCTCTGAAGCAACACCTGTAAGAAACCAGTCAGATTGCTAGGTTAAGGAGCACATAGGGAAAGCTGGCACATTATTATAAAGATTAACATATTTGTTGGTATCCTTCTCTTCTCCTAGGGCCGGTCTACACTGGGGGGGGGGGAGGGGGATGGAAATCGATCTAAGATACGCAACTTCAGCTACGCTATCGAAGTATCTTGGATCGAATTACCTGGGGTTCACACGGCGTGGGATTGACAGCCGCGGCTGCCCCCTCGACTCCACTACCGCCGCTCGCTCTGGTGGAGTTCCGGAGTAGACGGTGAGCGCGTTCGGGGATCGATATATCGCGTCTTAACGAGACGCGATATATTGATCCCGGATAAATTGATTGCTACCCGCCAATACGGCGGGTAGTGAAGATGTACCCCTAGACTCAGTGGTTCAGAAGCCAAATTAGCTATCAACATTATCCAAAAGAGCCACAGTAACGTGAATTCATTGTTTCTTTAATATTATATATTATTATTCTTACAGCAAAATGATGGACAAAGTATTATTATTTTATCAACTAAAATGGGTTAATAACATAGTAAAAGCATCCTGATTGATTAATAATTAAATCACACAGTGTTTTAATATCGTGTGAGGCAAAGAGCCATAGGAGACACATTAAAGAGCCACTTGCGGCTCATGAACCTAGGCCTGAGTATCACTGGGCTAGATTCACAAAGGGACTTAAACAACAAGGAGTCTGGTGGCACCTTAAAGACTAACAGATTTATTTGGGCATAAGCTTTCGTGAGTTAAAACCTCACTTCTTCGGATGGAGACTAGTTCATCTAATAGCAACACGTAGGGTCTGAGTGTGCTAAGAGCCCGGTCCTTCCTGCTGACAGAGGGCTAGAGTAGCCAGGAGGATGCAGAATGGGAGGGGAAAAAAAAGTTTGACTTTTAGAAGCAAAGCTGACAGCATACTTCCTACTGTGCAAACATAATCTAACATTCAGGTTCAACCCCCCTCAGCAACTCAGACTAACTTCTCTGAAATATTCTCTTTCCTGCAAGCAAAACCTTTGCTCTGTAACTAGTCTACTGAATATAAAAGGCCTATTTTCTTGACAGATGGTATAATATGATATTCACATTTACAACTTGTGTTAGAAATTTAATATATTTCACAGTTCTACAGCTTTTTGAATGATCTCTTACATTTATCACACTAATATTTTATTATTTGGTCGACCAAGACAACTGGTTGGTTATTTAAATTCTGCTTGGCGAGCTGTTAACCCATAAAGGTGGACACAAGATTGAGAAATAGAAATGTGTACTGTATATAACATTTTGACAAGACCTGAAAAACTGAGGCTCTGTCCCCTCACAGTAAGCATATCATGATACTTTTCAGAAGAGTAGCATTTGCCCTGATGTCCTTGGCCAAAATTTCCCTCCTCCCACAATACTGTTGTAAGGCATGCCCTGTGCCAGCTGGCTGCTGTCCTACACCCCAGAGGTGGCTGCACTTCAGTGCTGTATGTATAATCTGGAAAGCACTTAAGGATCCTTCAGTATGAAAGCTGCTATTAGAAATGTAAGATTATTACTACTGAGATGATTTTGTTCCCCAATAAGCTCTTAATGTGTATTAAGATTTTTTTTTAAATCAAGCATTCAGAGATTAACTACAGAAAACCATTCCTAGGCAAAAAAACTCTCAACGTTAATGGGTGAAATATCTTCTTACGTATGATCTCTTACCTGACTTCTCCACCAGCTCCCTGACATCTTTCTTTTCCAGCAGCCCAGAGTACCCAAGCCCCCTGCACTCCAAAATGGTCTTCAGCTTCTTGAAGCTCAGGGCCACCGGGTCCACCAACTGGGTGGCAAAGAAGCCAGTTTCATACCAGACAATGGCTTCAAAAAACCTGGCCAGGACAAACAGGACCAGAAAATAGAGAAGCAAGAAAAACAGCTTCAGCCACATCTTTCCTCTCGCTGTGTGTGACTCTCTGCAGAGAGAGCCAATCCTACGAGAGAGAGAGAGATCCCAATGGAGGAGGCAGGGGGAAGGAGCGAATTATTCAGACCAATAACCCCACTGCTGCTGCTGCCTGGATCCTCCTCCTCGCCCTGGCTCCTGGGCCCGCTCCTTGCTGCCCTGGTCAGGTGTTGGGGGGAGAGAAAGGAGATCACAGGGGTGTTGGCAAGTTGGCCGGGGGAGGGTGAAAGAGGAAGGGGGCTGCGCCCCTAGTGAGGCCAGGGAGGGGATGGGAATAGTGGGGGAGCTGAGGCCCCAGTCAGGCCGGGAAGGGGGAGCAGTAAGGGGGGTAGTGGCCCCAGTCAGGCCGGGAAGGGGGAGCAGTAAGGGGGGTAGTGGCCCCCAGTCAGGCGAGGGGGGAGCAGTAAGGGGGGTAGTGGCCCCCAGTCAGGCGAGGGGGGAGGCTGATCTGCGGGGGTTGGGGGGAGGCGCCTCCGCTCGGGGACTCCCCGGGGCCGAACGGTCAGCGGGCCGAGACGCTGGGCCTGGCGCCTGCCTGCGAGCTCCGGGTCCCGGCCTCCCCCGCCCGGCCTGGCCCCAGCGGAGCCCGAGCCGCCGGCGGAGACATAACAAGTGACGTCGCAACCGGGGACAGCCGCGGGAGGGGCAAAGGGCGCCGGGGAGGGGGAATCTCGGGCTCCGCCCCCTCCCTGTTTCCGCCCGCCCCCGGGCGGTGCTGGGCGCTCAGCCAGCCGCCAAAGGGAGCGGAGGGGGGCAGGGCCAGAAACACAGACCCCCGATCCCAGACAGCCCCAGGCTCCCCCGTGTTCCCGGGCCCCGGACACTCATTGCCCCCCATCTCTTCCCTGG